GTTCGGTGCTGCAGTGCTTTGTCACGTTGTTGCCGCCAAGCGAAAAAAAAGTGACGATTGCAATGGCAGAGAAATGTTGGGCACTTGACGACCACTGCTGCTGCTGCCACCACCGCTGTCTTTGCCGGCACTGCGGCAAGTGAGAGAGACAATGCAAGGATTAGGTGACAGAGAGCACTGTAGTTGCAGTTGGGCACAATGCTGTTGCTGTTGGTGCTGCCACAGCCACAGCCACGGCTGCCAATGTGCCAATGCGCCAATGTGCGGCAGGCTCTCTTTCTGGCAAAGTGACAAGTGTTTAGTTCTGATTAGCCAGTGTTGATTAAGCTCACTAATTAGGTTTAGGAGTTTGTGAACACACATTTCAAAAGCCAGTGTAGGTTGAAAAAATTGTTTGGCAATTGCAGATGATGCTGGTGAAATGGAAAGGGGAAATGAACTACTGCTTTGAGGCGGTGTGCAATTTAGATATGTTATTGTTTTGCTATACAGTGTGGCGTTTACGGTGTGACTGGCCATTGGCTGCTAATTGATCAAAGCTTTGATGATGACACTGATAAAATGGCATCAGATAGTTCATGTCAACTTTTCTATGCATATGCAACAAGATTTCTGTTCATTTAGTGATAGTATTGGAGTTTTTTTAAATCAAACAATAGCAGTAAAATAATGTTTTTTGTTAAAATCAAAACAACGATCTTATCTGCAAGTAAATCATCTGTTTCAACTCATCAAACATGCAATTGCTTTTTGCTTGCTTTCTAGTAGCAAAATGCAAATCGTTGCTAAACATTAGTTAATTGTGGTAATAAAACTTTAATCTGATCATTAATGGTATTTTGTGGAATATTTTGATGAAAAACAACTATTTTTGAGGTATTTAACCGTTTGCTCTAAATTACTTTTTATTTGTTTGTTTTTAAACAAAAACGCATTTAAGTTTTATTAAATAACTAAAAGTATTTATTGGTTCAAAATATATTGTGAACAATGAGTCATTTTTGACAAACGAAACCACCAAATAGTTAAATCAAATTTAAAATTAAATTTAGTTTTAAAAATGTAGCAATTGACAATTTTATTTTAGTTTTTTTAAACTAAAATAAATTTAAAATAATAAACGCTACTAAAAACACTGCAAAAATATGTAATTACACAAAAAATTAATATATTTTTAGCGCCAAGTTGTGAAAGTGGTACTTGGTGGGCAGGAGCACCCACAAGCATTGTCGCTATTGACTCAATGCAAACCGCTGTTACTGTGCGTCATGTCAATAGATTGCTGCAATCGCTTGACTGACTCACCGAGTTTCTGCATCTGTTGTAAACCTCATTTACTGCTACTGGCTTGTGGCAAAACTGAAACTCATTTTTACCCTGTGTTGTAAAAGTCGATTTTTCTTTGTTTATGTTGTATTGATTTATTTTCAACAAGTTAAGTTACACACAACAACATGAGCTGGTTTGGCAAAAAAGAAACTTCAGGTATGGAAATTGTGTGCCTTTAATGTTTGTTTATTTGTTTGTTATTCTAACTTGAAAAACATTTGTAGCAGAAGCTGCCCGCAAACAGCAACGAGAAATTACCAGAGCTCAACGCACAGTTCAACGAAGTACTGTTGATTTGGAAAAGGAAGAAAAGAAACTCGAAACTGAGATTAAAAAACTGGCTAAACAGGGACAAACAAAAGCTTGTCAGACGCTGGCTAAACAGTTAATTCAAATTCGCAATCAAAAAACACGAGCAACTGCAGCCAACTATCGCATCGGAGCAGTGGGAGCACAAGCAAAGGTACTATTCAGTTGTTTTCCTGTTCAGGACAATATTTAATGACTTATCGAAAATAATAATAGATGATGGGTGCTAACAATGTCGTGGCCGCTGCTATGGGCAGCGCCTCAAATGCCATGAAGGTGACCAATGAACAAATGAATCCGGAAAAAATATCAGGCATACTGAAACAATTTGAGGAAGAAAACATGAAGATGGACATGAAAGATGAAATGAGTATGTGCATTCTACTTTGTTCGAAAAAAATTTAAGCTAAATAACAAAATATTTTTATATTTACAACAGTTGAAGAAAGTCTGAATGGCATTTTGGACAATTCAGATGATGAAAGCGAACAAGACTTAGTTGTCAATAAAATACTAGATGAAATTGGAATTGAAGTTAATCAAAAGGTATTTATTTGATTTAGTTTGATAAACAACCCTAATCACAATAATGATTTCTTGTAGTTATCAAAGGTGTCTGCACCTAAAGGCGATTTAAGCATGAATGACATTGAAGCTTTGATCTCTGGCCCAAGTACAAGTAGCCGACAAGCTCTAAAACAGTAATTAACACATTCTGTTTTCCTTTATTGTTTGTAAAACAATATTTGTTCTATAAACAAACTGTTTTTTTATTTGATAGCGTATAATTTGTTTTATAACAAATTAGTAAAAGTTATCATAATCACTGTTATTTTTTAATATTTTCAAATAAAATACATGTGTAAAATAAATAACTTATAAAACAATTTACTTTAACTATGACTTAAAATTGTATTTTATTAAAATGTAAATTTAAAACTATTTTGTAATTTAGCAATCAAGTTTGCTCTGATAAACAAAAACAAAAATATGTTTTGAAACTAAAATTTTTTTATCTCAATACTTGGAAAAAATTTTAACAATTGTGATTTTGCTATTGACAATAGAAACCAATACTAGTGAACGTAGACTTGCTGCTGGGAAACCAAAACACGTAGATACGCTGTTTGCGGATTTTTTTTGACTGAAGTGAGCAGAGAAACAAACGCTCACTAGTAGTCAGTGTGTGTGTATATATTCACCGACTCAGCTCTCCGGTAAGTTGTGATTAGTGTGAGTTGTCGTCAAAGTGTGACCGTTTCTAAATATTTTTTCAGCTGGTCGGTAATGCGACCTGAAGATGAAGCTGGAAGAACTGTTCAACTCGCTGAAGGTGCAGTCTGAAAACCGCCCGACTGCTATTTTTGGTCAAAATGGACCACCGCAAGGGTTGCCCTTACAGCCGGCACCTCAACCACAACCTCAAATGCAAAACTTAAACCAAAACTTTTTGGGAAATGATGAGTACCTTCTCTCAAACCAAAATCATCCCCGTAATATGTTGGATCCACCACCTGGTCTCTTCTCGGGACTACCCCAAACCAATGTTCCCCCTGGCGATGCCACCTCTACGGGACCGCCGGCTATGTTGTTGGGAAATCAGTCTCCTGCAGTTTTACCCCCTTCATTTGTTTCCGCTTCCCAGCCGTTTCCGCTTCCTCCTCCTCTGAATGGACACCATTTTGTTCCGTTTCCGGCACCCATTGTACGTCCACCACCGTTTGGCCCCTTCTCCGAGCCTCATCCCAACTTTATGGCTCCTCAATTCAATCCTCAGCCTTTGCCCATGCCAGTGCCTTTTCAAATGGTTTCTCCTTTTCCGCCTCAGTTCTCAGCTTTGCCATTGCCGCAACAATTTCAACAGCAGCAACAACAGCAGATGCAATTTCAGCAACAGCAAATGGCGTACAAGCAAGGTCTGGAATTCTTCAACAACAACATGATCAAGTCCACTGAGGATCAGAGCAGTTTGCTTGTTCCTACAAGCAATAAACCAGTTCCAATGCCAGCTCAAGTGCCTGTTGAAGAAGGAGAATCGATGAATAATTTAAAAATGCTGTTTCAAAGATCGACTGTTCAAAAAGAAAAAACTGACCCTATTCCTGAACAAAATGCAATGAAGAAAGAGGATTTAATCGATAAAACTGCGGTTTTGCCTGTGAACAATGTGTCTAAAAAATCAATTCGAGTTAACGTCAACGACCTGTTTTCGTTGAGTAAAGTATACTCTGAAAACAACAATAGCATTGACGCCAACAAAATGCTGTTTGACATTCTTCAAAAACAAGAAGTAGAGAACCAAGTCAAATCAGCAAATTTGTTCCAGAAAATCAATGATATTTCAGACAAAATGTCCTCAACTGTATCAAATGATATCTATCAAGAGCTGACTAATTTAAATGAAAATTATTGTTCGGAAATACTTAAGCAGCTTCGCAAAGAGCTGCAAACAACTTCAGACTCAATTGATGACATTATGAGTGAACATGAGGATTTACGTGAACGCAACTACATTTTCACTATGATAATACAATACTTTCAACATATTTCCCAACGATTGCAAACCCAAAACGTTACATATTTAAACTTAATTGACTCATTTCAGTACAATTATGATGACTTCGCAGTATACGGTCCTAGATTTCGCGACTTTATTCAAAATTCAAAAATGTTTAGCTCTACTAGCATTAAAGAATATTTGTCATTGCTGAAAAATTATGAACAATTTTATCCAATTGAAATCATGAGACTTCGAAAAGTGCTGCTCAAAATGAAACTAACATACAGCAAGCGTTTAGAAAAAGTACGCTTAGCTCAAACTAAAATTGAAATTGATAAACTTTTAAAAGAAAAAACTCCAGCAAATGAGCAACAAACTCAGTCAGGAAATGAAAACAATATGCTTAGCAGCACATCACCAATTCCTGTTAGTTATGACATGATAACATTTCAAAAAATTGATTCAAGGTAAGTTGTTGTTATCAGTCATTCAAATATTTAATTTGGTTATACCTTACAGGAACCTTCACAGTTCAATATCGGCATTGCGAACAACTAAAGAACAAATCAAGCACTTTCTTGAAAAGACTAGTTTATCTCCTGAAGGAGAACAAAATCGAATTGACTTTCTTGATTGTTTAGATAGAGCACTGAAAAACAGCGAATTTGTGCATTTTTGTCCAACACTTCACAAGTTTGGCTCCCTTTCTAACGGCATGGGCACCTATGACTCAGACATTGACATTGTTATCAAATTTGAAAATCTCAAAATCGACGTCCTGGACTACGGTACTTTGATGTTGGCTCTGGAAGTCATTGAGTGCATTCTTCAGGAACAACTTGGTATTCAGTCAAAGGATAACATAGTGCCTAGCAAACGATGTCCTATCATTAAACTCAACTTTAGCTCGTGTTTTCCCCAAATTAGAAAAAGACCTGAAACTGATTTCAACAAGTGTGACATTAGCCTGATTTCCTCTTACGGCGTGTACAACAGCAAGCTTCTGCACTTTCTGACCAAATACGACTACCGTTTTCGAGAGTTGACGCTTATACTAAAGTACTGGGCAAAACGAAATGAACTCATCGACACAACAACCTTTTCATCGTATGGTTTTACAATGTTGATAATCTTTTTTCTGCAAAACACCAATCCACCGGTGTTGCCAACTGTTTCGCGGTTGCAAGATCTTGCCAAACAGCAAAAGGGCAATGAGGCCCTTATGGTTAACAAGTTCAACTTTCAGTTTTGCAATGACATTACTATTGTTGGAAAGAGTAAGAATACCCAAAGCGTTCCTGAACTGCTACTAGATTTTTTTCGGTAAACTACACAATTGATTTTATTTATGATCTAACTAATTTTTATTTACATTTTTTAGATTTTACGTCAAATTCGACTTTTACAACAATGCCGTCTCCCCTCGACTTGGCACTGCAGTTAAAAAGATTAACATGCGCAAAGAAAAACTTGAGAACAACTTTGATAACTTCAACATGGCCTCGTATGTTTGTATTGAAGATCCTTTTGTTCTGGAGCACAACGTTGGCTTCATTTTCCGAGCTCGAAATGTGCAGCGATTTAACACACTTCTCCGCTCGATGATCTACAAGCTGACTCCCAACAACTGCCTCAAAGTGCTGGTTGACCCAAAGAACTTCATGAACTGCAAGTACTCCAACAGTTCATGCGTCTTCATACCGTTCAACCTCTTCTGCTATGAAGTGATCATCACTGAGCACTTTCTCTCCTACCCCATTCAGCCCAAATCTATCTTCCTCCTGCCCACCGCTCACCAGGTGCCACTGGAGCAGTCCTTTGAAAGCATGCAAAAGCTCTTCTTCATCATCGTGCGACACCTGCTGGTGAACTACTTTGCCCTGGCCAACGTCGAGGAGGCCCTTCAGCTGCAGTTCAACGCTGACAGGTCCATTCTCTGCTCCGTGGACTTCGCCTACCTGAACCACATCAGCAGCAAACTGGACATTCGCAAGAACCACAAGTACGACTCGCTCTTTCAGAGCGGCCGGAAACGGTCGGCGGACGCGCTGAAACGCTTCAGTCTGCTGAAGATGCTCCGAGATGACATTCGCCGACTAGGAATGACTAGTTTAGGTGAAGCTGAAAAGAAGCAAGTGGTTCCAGGCAGTGGCAAAGTGGCAACAGCAGAGAACTGGTTCAAACTGGAGCTGCCCAGTCACCCGCCGGTGCACCAGCTGCAGCTGTCTCCCGCTTCTCATCAGGCGCTGTTGGACGCCAATCAGCAAACCATTCTGCCGTACTTTAACTTCCGCATGTTGGTGCCCTCCACGTCGAAGCACTTCAACTTGGCGGCGCGCTACGGTGAACTGCTGCAGGAAATTCTGCAAAAGTTCTGCTTCTCCATTGACCGCGTCAACGCCGTCGCCACCTTTGCCTCACAAGTAGAGGAGTTCTTTGAGGGCTAGGGTTTGCAAAAAGGCTATATAGAGTACAATTTGTACAGGAGAGAAATATATGTTCGCTAATTTCTTCTTCTTCTTTTTCGTTTTTGTCTGTCCGTCCTTTCTTCTGTGTGACTTTTCGTTTCATTTTAAAAAGTAATCCTCTTATTTGCACTTTAGTTTTAATTGTGAATCTTGAAGAAACTTACCAAAACACAATATCATGTATTTTAAAAACTTGGAAAATATTAATCAATGTTTAGTGTTTTGAATTTTAACCTTAGTGACTGAACAATAACTAATAAACTAAAATTTATATATTTTTAAAACTTTTGAGTTTTAACAATTAAAAGTTTAAAAATTAAAAAAATGAGTAACAAAAAAGAGTTGTCACTACTGTTCACATTTTCCAATGTGTTTGTCAATCTGCTTGGCCAGCGCCCTTTTTCAGTTTGACAAAAAAATGTCTTTGGTTCTTCTGTGCTTCTGAATTTCTACGCCACTCAAATATTGACTCGCCTAGCACTGCACCTCAGTGCTAGGCGTTGGAACTGCTGCTGCTGATGGCTACGTGTACCCTACGCACTTTTTCCCCACTGTCACACAATGCACACTGCTATAGCGCATGCTGCAAAATTGTGCGCCCGATCCAGAAACGGTGGTTCCGATTAGTGCGCTATATAGTGTAATCGACGGTTAAGTGTAGTAGTAGTGCCTTTGCCAAATTGTATCTTCCAACATTTTTGTCCCACTTGGTTACTGAGCGTTGGAATCACAGAAGC